TATATGTATATATATGTATATATAAAAAAACCCATACTGGCCTTTCTTAGCAACATTCAAATGTCTTTCTCTTATTATAAGAAAGCTTTCTTCTATAATGATTGTTTTAAGAGTGCCATCTAGTGTCTAAAGCTTTTCAATACGAGTTGTGATTTTTAAGTTAATGGGCAATTTTATTGAGTGATGGAGCAGAAAAATTATTGCATCGTTGTTTTCTATTGAACTGGTATGGAATAGTTTAATAGGAGAAAAGTAATTTTCAATCAAGTATAAGGAAAATTAATTTAAGTTTTTAATATAATGAGAAGACATTAATTTTAGCTATGTTACTGTTGTATTTAAATGCTTTAAAGCAGTTGTGTGTTTGAGGTGTTCATGTAGCATTCTTGAAATGAATGGTTTTTTTCTTCTTACGTGTCCTCTTGACCTTCAGTTAGTATCTTGCCAGGCTCTAGATTAATTTTTAATACAGAAACCAATATGGCCTAAATACCCTATATATATGCCTTCTAACAGTTACAGAAAGACAAATGTGTGCATTAGGAAACGGACTGTTGTAGATATGTGCTCAGAATTTGTTTTTTCAGTAATATCTGGTTAATGTTGTGGGAGATGATTGATTTTAAAAAAAAAAACTTGCTATAAAATATTTATAAACTAAAAAATCTAAAAGGAAATGTTTTCTTTTGGTTTTGTATGTTCTGTTTAATGTCAGAAATACACTAAAATGTAAAAAAATTCTTACACAGATCATTTCCCTATCAGTGATTTGTATGTGAAGAGATAGTGTATATGTGAAACCATTCTTTTCTCTCAAGAAGGGCCTGCAGTCCACTTATTCAGGCAGGATGTCTTTAATAGTGTCTTATGTTAAAATCAGTTTTAGCAGATAGTGGAAGGACCACTGTTTCAAACCCTCTTTTTTGTTCTAAATTCTGTATTCTTTTATGAATGTTGTGATCTGATTTCTATTTCAGGAACTTCAGCTCAGGAGGAAGATGAAAGATAGTGTCGCTGAAGAACATTTATATTTGGGTTTTTCTCATCAGTACAGAGATAGTATCTTTCCTCTTCATACATCTATTTCACTGTTTTTGCTATCCTACTGTGACTGCAAATTATTCAAAATTTTCTTAGTGCCGACTAGTGAAAATGTGGATGATCAGTTTGTGACAAAAAACCTCCTTGGCGATCTTGAGGTCCATTTAATCTCCAGATGTCAGCTTCCAGTGATTGTGCAGAGCTGCTGTTTACCTGCTGTTGTCGTGAAAGATGGCAAGTTCTGCCGAGCTGGGCTTTCCGTTGTCTTAAGGCATATAATACAGAAAACATATGAGGCAGATCCATCTAAAAAGGATGTTTTGGAACTCTTAGGCTTTAAGAAGACCTGCTTAAAAGCCTGTGCTGAAGTGAGTGCTTCTCTTTCTCTTGGATACCTTAATAGTTTTTCTTATAATTAAATACTCTGAAGTAGACTCTTAATATTGATGTAAACTAAGTTCTTCTAGTAAGAAACTTAATTTGCTTAGAAAATGAAGTTTCCTCAATGGAGAAGTATCTGTATTTTGGCATAAAGATGAAAAATAATTCTTTTTAAAGATACTGCTTTTTAGCAGCACAAAAAGAACCTTAAGATTCAAAAAAATGCATCAGATCTTTATTTTGTGTCCAGCAGTATAGTTTCAATGAGTTATAAAGTACAGCTCTTCCTGTTTGAAGTAAACTAAGAAATACTTAATTTATTGTTAATTTTGATTTCAAGAACACTGTATGCTGTTAGCCTTTATCACTGCCAAGGCGAGCTGCTGGCTTATTTTTAGCTTATGCTCACCAGGATGTTCAGGGTCTTTTCAGCAGAGCTGCTATCTGGCCGGGTAGTCAGTCCCTAGCCTGTACCATCACAGGGGTTTAGTCCATCCTAGATACAGGATGTTTTATTGAGTTTCGGGAAGTTCCTGTCAGCCCGTTCTCTAGTCTGTCTGGGCCCCTGTGAATGGCAGCCCTTTCTTGGAGTTTGACTGCTCCACTCAACTCAGTGTCATCCTTGATGTGAGTGTATTCCATCTCCCCTCCAGGTTGTTGGTAAAGGTAATTAATAGGCCTCAGCATAGACCCCTAAAGAACTCCAGTTCTAACTGACCTTCAGGTAGACTGTGAACCATTAACCACTACTACCCTTTGAGTTGGTATTTCAGCCCATTTATCACACAGCAGTTTACTCATCTGGCAGTTCATCCATCTAGACTTGCCTTCCTCGCTCCTCTCAGGAGGTTGAACTCCACTATGTCATGATTGCTACATCCATGGTTGCCATTGATTACTGTGCCTCCACCCCAGTTCATCTCTGGGTTGGAGATCTGGGGAAGCATATCCTTGTGTTAGTCCATCTAGCACTAGCATAAAGAAATTGTCCCTGACATCCTCCAGAAAATTCTGGTTCTAATCTCTTCTTGCAACTACTGGAAAACTTGATTCTATGTTTCAGATGGCTGCAAAGTGAGTAAACTGAATTAAAAAGTTTTAAAACCTTTAAGTACAGATAATAAGAAAAAGAGGACAAGGATAAGAACATGAAAAAAAAAAAGTAATTTTTTTAAGGTGTTGTTCGGTTAGACTAAAGTTTTTTGATGTTGCGTGCTAAAAAACCACTAATAATATAATGCATTTCTGTAAAATAAATGTGCTCAAAATCTGTTTGGTGTAATCTTCTGATTTTATTACCAGCACTTGGTAGAGATGATGTATATAAATTGATCACAGCTTTTCTTCTCATGAGTTACGCAGCCACCCTAATCTTATGCCAGTAATAAGGAATAAAAATATGCTATACTGGATAACTGTTCATTCTGTTATATATAAGATTTAGCTTCCTAATTCTGCTATTGCAAAAGTAATACAAAATACCTGAGCTTCTAGGATTATCAAAGAATGTGTTAAAAGCTGGAGTTACCGCCTCTGGCTGGAATTTCTTTGCTTAAAGTGTACAGAAAGGTAGCCTGGATTTTGTTTCTCTTTCTGTAGAGACATTAATTACATAAATTTATCTGGCAGGTTAGCCAGTGGACCAGACTTTGTGAGATCAGCATACCTCTGGCTGTTGAAGGATTTTTGACGGCGTCTCCTGAGCACTGTCAGGCTATTCCTCCTGACATTTTACAGCTTGAAAGGAAGCTTGGAGAACCTGTCCGAGTACATAATGATGACAAAATTCGAAGGCAAAAACTTCAACAACAGAAGGCAGGTGCCAAGGCTGCAGTGCCTGTGCTTGGTAAAGAAGCAACAGAGGGAGGAAAAACAGTGGAAATGTATGAACATCCACTCCCAAGTTTGGAACTGAGCATAGCTTTCTCCAAGCTACTTGTCCAGGAAGTATCAGATGCAGTCAACAGGGAGGCTCCTCACATCAGGAGAACAAAAACCTCTGACCTTCCGCTTTTGGACCACGTTTTTGCAGAAGGGCTTTATTTCACCTTGGCAGATATAGTGCTTTTGCCATGCATCCATCAGTTCTTGGTAAGACAACAACTTCTGCAAATATTAAGTAGTGTATATGTATTTTTTTTTAAGAACTGGAAAGTTGTAAAATGTGTTAATTTAAAATATATTGTGGCATTTCCAATGTGAACTTTGCCTGAAACAGAAGATTTGTCTTTGTTTTTGTACAAACAAAAAACAGGGATTGGACCAAAATTACTTTTAAATACATAGCGTATCAATACTTAGTAAACACTGTTAACTGTTAAATTATTATGCTGAAATATTTTGGCACCAAGTTGCCCAGAAAATTCCTTCATGAAAATACTTAAAATGGACATTTAAAGTACATTCTAATATGCGTAAAGCAAAAGTAGGTAAGCATGAACCTATTTTCTTGCTTGAATTTAGCATATTAGTTTTACAACTATGACTCAATGGATATTTACTAAAATGAGACCATTGTCTCCGTGAGGAATTTTTTGAGATTTGGAATTTTGATTCCATCATAAATTGCAAATTTTAAAAGGATGGAGGGTTGAGAATGGTGTAATAATTTTAAAATACTATAAGAGATGTCCCCCATGAGAGATTTAAAATGGACACTTAAAGTACATTGTAATATGCATAAAAAAAAAAGTAGGTAAGCATGAACCTATTTTAATTTTGGTTTCAGTGTACAGAGGGGCAAGGAGAAATGAATTCCTAACCAGTTTGTTGTACTTTTACTACATGGATATTATCTGAATTGGAATTCTTTTTAGCAAAGACTTGAAACTTGATGTAACTTTATCTTGACATGGACAGATATGCCTAAAAGAAAACAAGTACCTTCTAGGAAAGTGAGAATGCCTTTTAGGGAGGCAGTGAATGAAGAGAGATTCAGGGACTATGGTGGCTTTTTAGAGGTGTAAATCCTTGACTTTTCCTTACACATAAGAGAGCTGAAGAGATACTCAGGTATTGATTAGGGGAAGACTTCCAAACAAATGAAGTTTATGGTACTGGTATGTAATTTCTTGAGATTCTCTTGAGAATTTTTTTTTTTTTGTCTGCAAATATTTCTTTTTAGAATATGATGTGCTATGACTTCTGATTTGCTTATTTCTCTTCATAATAGGTTAGTTATTCTTAATCTCTGCTTGTTGTTGGACTAGGAATGACTTCTTTCTTTGGGAGGAAACATTCCTGTGTAGCCAACACAGCTTTAGTCTCTCTCAAACGGGTGCTTTTTATCAAGCCCTCCCACAAAATAAGCCAGTTTCATTGCACATCTGTAGATGAAGATGCATGTCTAGGACAGCATAATACCTACATATCAGCAAACCTTTTATTCTTCTGTGCAGTTTTGTTTTTACAAAACTTAGTCTGTATTCTTCTTCAAGCAAGGATCATTGTGACCCTGCTCAGAAATGAGGTGTTGTGTCTAGAGAGCCAGCTTCTTTGGGATGTGCTTCAGCCCCTGAAACTTCAGTAATCTGTAGTTTTGTCATTGATAGTATTGTTGCTACTAAACTTTCCACAGTTTGTGGAAGGTCCTTTGTTTACTGCAGTGAAAGGAGAAGTTCCTTTGAAAAGGTTACGTTGCTAGAAGCTCTTGGAGTGAAGTTTGTAACTGAGAAGTTACGATTCTCTTTGCAGTCCTATGAGATTGGCTGCTTAATTTTTTTTTCTAATAGAATCTGTGTTCCCTGTATGGTCCAATAACGTACTGATAGAAAGTCCGTACTTTCCTTTAGGGGAGTTGAATGTTTTCCAGATTGCGTAAGTAGTTTGGAAATGCCAAGAGTGTGGTCTATTCAAAGATGCCTTTGTCTTCTCCTTTGCAGTCAACCTAGCACGTTCTCAATACTGGACAAACACCAATGGACTGTTCTCAATTGTCTTCATCCTTGTCTTTTTCCTTCACATCAGGATGTTTTCGCAGCACAATAAGGAAAAACAGTGTATGCTAGCAAAGTAATATGGACACTGTATATAGTGGGTATATGCAAAATTTCGTTCTGAGCGTAGGACTATTTCGCGTCTTGTGATGTGTTTAGAGATCTCAAAAGGTCTCCCAGTCTTTATATGGAGGAATTTGAAACCTTCAAAGAGTTTCACCAAGATAAACCAGGAAAAGCACTGACAGAGCTGGCAGTCAGGGCACCACACGGAATGTGGAAAACTGGGGAATAAATCTTTGCTCCCCGACATAGAATGTCACTATAGAAACACTGTCGTGAGTGACAAAGCTGATTTTAGAAGTTCCTGTACTCCAGGATGCAGTTGCCAAGCTATTGGTTGTGTCAACTCGACTGTAATTTGAATCAGTAAAATATTCTTGTCTCTGTACCTTAAGATCAATGATTTGTTAAAAGCTTATCTCTCACCACTTGTAGGGAGAGCCTTAGTCATTTGGTTATTGAGTCTTTTGTGGTGGATCTCTCACTTTGTACAAAATTTATCTGGGCCTGAGAAGGAGATTCTCTGTGTGTGTGTGTTGGTTGGTTTTTTTGTAGCACTTAGCTAGTAAGTGCCAGTGTCTTGCAGATTCTGTTGTACAAATATCTTAACATCTGGATTAGGAAAATATATCCAAATATGTTTTCAGCCTAATAAAGACATGCAATTTGGCTTTTATTTTATTTACTTTTTTTTTTTAACCCCCCTTTTCTCCCTCTACCCTTTTCTCATCTCTGGAAAGAGGTAGGGCTTAGTAGCGCAAGCTTGAGCTCAGCTTCAAAACCAATTTTATAGTGGGAAAAACTTCTGTGGCAAGACTGTGTGACGGTCTTGCTCAGCACAATCTGTGTACTTAGTTTTATGAGGATGTATACACAGAAAAGAATTAAGGAAACGATAACTGTGTCTTTATTTCCCATGACAATAAAATGATACGATGAGGTTGCCTACTACCAGTATTCCTGCAATTGATCTATGAGATTGATAGCTAAGCTGGTGTCTGTTGCCAGGAAGAGCTCTGAGTGAAGTTGGTATTTGCATTTTGATTTTGCAAGTTGTTTTGCCAAATTTGCCTTATGGTGTTTGAAAACAAATGGAATTCCTGGAGAAGATGCTGTCAGTCAGATTCAGAGAAACAATCTCTAAAATCAGGATAATTACTAACGAACATTGATAGGTGACAAATATCCAATTTATAACTTCTTTAACCAAAATCATCATTCTCAGTGGATTTCTGTATGATGATAGCAATGTACGAGTCCAGAAGTAGGTTAATATGGTTACCTTTGAATTACGATGATGAGTTATTTTACAGAAATTGTTATTAATTCATCTCTGCTTGCTTTGTTTGTTTTGCAAATCACATAATTGGGGATTAACAGCAACTTCTGTATGGATGATACTAAACAACCGTAGTAAGACAAAATGCTTTCCTACTATTTTAAAAACTTTAATATATTTCAGTCATCTTTATTTTTCCAAGGCCTTTTTAAAGAAGAAGAGCATAACTTTTTATAGTAATATTTGATTTACTCATGCTAGGCACGAGAATGTTCCTGGATCAGATGCTTAATTGACTTCAGCAATCCAACTGAAATTGTTCTGTAGATGTACTGTGAGCTGAGAATGCTGTATTTATTTGCTTTTCATGTGTGACCCTTGAGCCCTGGTGGTCTGCAGCTTACGAACAATACATTGTATAATACATTATTGTTAGCTCGCACCACGGATTGTCCTAAAAAACTGGCTTTCCGTTTCATTTTTACCTAAATTATAAGAGCTCTGGGATGATGTTGCTTTATTTCTGTTCTCTGGTGAATGATCAGTTTTCTAAGCAATTATACCTTGATTCCTACAGTTATCATCCAAATTTAATAACTTGCATCTGAAAGCTGCTTGCAGGCAGCGGGTTGAAACTGCTCTTGTTGATGGAAGTGCCAATTCTGTATTAAAGTGTTATTTATCACTTACATAACTGGACTTCCTGGATTGTGTTTAAAAAAATCATTATAGTTGCACTTCCACTTAGGGTGTGAATAATAATGAAGTCTTCAATGGGTATGTGTCTGGAAAGTATCATACAATAAATATGAGGAGACCTGACTAGCTGATTGTAATTGTAATTACCAAAAGTAAGATAATGAAGCTGAAGAGTTGTTTTTCATTACCTCATTCCATTTCTGTTATCTTTATGAGGTTAGCTTTGTAACGCTTTCTATTAGTTGTAACTGTTCAAAATTAATAGAAGAATAACAAAAGCTCTGTTCTCCATCTGGGAGAAACCACTATTCACTTTTTAAAATACAATTTAGAACACTTGTTATCAAGTGTAACAGTGCCTCTTAGAATTGCTTTCAGAATACTTCGTCCTTAACTGAATTAATGTATTTCTGCCTGTGTTACTATTAGGATATTGAATTGATACCAAAATTACACAGTTCATCCTCCTTTTGCTCCTTTAGCTATTACTTAGCTAATTACTTGTGATTACCTTAAGAACATTATAAACACAGCATGCAAGAAAGCTGCTTGAAATTTTGTGTCATTTCAGGTGTTCTTTACCAATTCCTATTTCCACACTGAGGACAGATATGTGGAGGAGCACTGTTTTTGCATAGCCTTTTCTGCCTTTTCCTGTAATCTTGATTTTTAATTTTCTGCTTAAAGCAGACACAGCATCACAGAACAGTTGAGGTTAGAATAGTTGAAGTTGGAGGGCACCTCCAGAGATCATCTTGTCTAACCCTCCTGCTCCTAACTCAAAACCTGACCTAACCCAGGGTCAACTAGAGCCAGTTGCCCAGATCGTGTCCAGTCAGGTTTTGAGTGTCTCTAAGGATGGAGACTTCACAACCTCTCCTGTAAGAGGATGATGTTCACTCTTCTACATTTGGGAACCTGAAGAAAAATTACTTCAGTTCACCAAATGCATCCTTTTTAAAATTATCTGGTCTTCACATAAAAATGTGTTTTGGGTATCTTTTTTGTAATATGTGCATTGTATTCTTACTTAAGAAATTTTTTTTTTTTTTACACTTAAAATTCTAATTTCTGTTGAAGGCCACGTCATCTCACCATCACATATACTTAATTCAGAAAAGAAATATGTTACCATTTTTGTATAAAAAATATGAAGTTAAGATGGTAAAAAAGTTTGAGTAAATATATGATTTTTAAAAAAAGTTTTTGATTCAGTGCTAGTAAAAAAAAAAAAAAGTCACAGATGTAATGCAAAGACTTCAATAAGGACCAGGGACACTGTATGCCTGTGCCTGTTTTGCTGTTACCACATAGTCAAAGGTATTTCAGGCTTTCAGTTGCTGGCAAAATAGCTGTCAGTGGATGAGCTTTTAAGGGCTGCAGGGTGCCTGTGGGAAGGAAGAGCATTCGGGTACCATAATGTCTTGCTTAGAGTTCAGTATTCATTGCAAATTACTGTTGTGTTATTTTTTTTTTTTTCTTTTGTGATTACCAACCAAAATGAATCATTCCCTTGTTAGGAAATAGCAGATAATTAAGAATATTATTTAAATTCTGTTTTCCTGCTCCTGACTGAAATTAGGATTAAAATTGGTCATGTAAACTTTTTTATCCTAGTAAGCAAATGGGAATTGCAGATAAAGTCTAAATGGCCAGCTGGCAATTCCACCTACAGGCCTGAGCTCTTAACTAGCTAGCTTTTTGCATTAGCATCATGCTATGAGTAAGCATGCTCGACATGGGGCCGAGCTCACTTCTGTAGTTCTTGCCTTCTTGTGGCTTGTAGGAAGAAATTTACAGTAGCAAGTAAGCTTTCCATTTTATTTTTGTAGGTTTCCAGCAAAAACCAAGGCAAAAATCTGATAAATTTGCCTCTCATATCTAGTTGGTATCAAAGAGTTCAAGAAGTACCTGGAGTAAAGAAAGCTGCTGGCAAATGCAATATGGAGCTTCTCCAGCTTCCAGAGTTGATGTCTGCTCCAGAGGAAGAGCAACAAGACCTCTCTGCAGTTTTTGATGAATTAGAAGAGGAGCATGAAGACAGTCATTTTATAGGTGGTCCAAGGCCAACTATGACTAAGTTAATGGTAATTTTAGCTTTTAATGAGTTATTTTTAATAGTAATATTCTGCTTGATTTGGAATAGGTGAAATTTATTAGAATTGCAGACGCTAAGTGTGACAGCCTTTAACAGTTTAACACATTTGGCCCGTCTTCTGTCTGATAGGCATTGGCTTAGAAGTGATTTTACTTTTTTGTTCTGTCATGATACTTGATCAGTTCAGGAACTGAGCAAAGATAGGACTGCTGGAAGCCCTAACAATAATTCTGAATAATCAAAGTAACTTTTTGTTTGAATTGCAATATTGTATTCTTCTTTTAAAGATGTTTACATAAAGGATGACAAAAAATGTTGCTTGTATGTTTGGCTTCATTATTCTATTGTTTCTGTTGTTTATTTGCTATTTTATTAGAGATTTGAACATCTGGGAACCCTAATGAGTTTTGTTAAAGAAAATTCTCCATGATGTTCCATAACCCTCAATGTTTTTTGCATAGAGGCTGACAGCATTTTCTAAAGAAAATTAGCAGGGTTTTCTTGTGAAAATGAGAGAAATACATAATTTGAATCCCATATAATGTCGAGTCAGCTGCCTGTTTAGTTTCAGTTGGACTGAAAGTCTTGCACAGTTTGATCTGATGCCATTAAATTCAGTGGGAATTTTGCTACCAACTCCACTGGGTGAAGGATCAGGGTCTTAATTTCCCCCCCTCCTTTCACACAGGAAAATGGTATTGAAGCAAAGTTTTCTCCTCATCCATGCCCCAACTGGATCTTAGACTGGACCAATCTACCATCTGCAGTCAGTCCTGGAGAAGGTAAGGGTTTTTCTGTATGTATGTATGTATGTATGTAACAGTGCGTTCTTCTGGTAAAGCTACTTAACTGTTTCATAGGAAAATATGTCACTTCTCAATGTATTTCAGAGCTCCATAAAACAGGTAAGCAGTTTTAAATCTGTTTTAAAATTCAGTCTGTTTGGGACACATGGTGAGATGACTTCCCTCAGGTCATCAACAGCTGATGACCAAACTGGGAATAAAAGCTTGACCTTGATTCCTGAACCATATTTTTTCCCACTTTCCTGAACTTTTCTTGTGAACAGCAGGTCAAGCGAGGCACC